CTCAATTTTCGAACAGTGGAAGGATATGGGTCTGGAGAATGCCTCACCAAGAGTTTTGGCTCAACTGATTACAGTCAACTGTGAAGCATGGTGGTTTCAGCGTGATGGTCTGGGGAGCTGTTTAGGTTGGTGGGAGATCGAGCTTAGTGGAGTGCGTTGGCAACATAAATTTTGCGAAATACGTAGAAATATTGCTAGAAACACCCAAAAGGAAGAAAATGGTATCCAGAAGTTGCCCTGGATACTTGTGACCACGCTGTGTATATATACGTTTGTTTTGCTATATTATTTTAGAACAAGTGGACTGTGTTGCAGTTTGTTTATTGTTGAAATTTATCACTAACAAGTCACAGACACCGACTGTAAAGAATCCGGTCTACAAAACTTGACAGTAGCAATACAGAAGCCATTGCATGCGCCTATTTCAAGCCAAATTGAGCGAATCCTCAATCGCTGCGGCACTTGCAATTACTTTAGGCAGGATTAGAGTAAATTAATCTATGAGACTTTTTTTCCCCCTTTTTATTAGCTATATTTTTGTGCGCCAGCAATACCAAGCGTGGGTCGCGCGTATACCCAATTCGATTTTATTATTCATCACAATCTCTACCAGCCTACCTTCAAATTAAAACTAGAATTAAATTAAGTTAATCTATAAGACCTCGGGCGTGATCAAATATATCAATCAAAAGGGTTTGACCTCTTGAGTCCAAAACTGTAATTAGATCTGAAACCGGGCAAGAGATGATGGAGCTATGAGCTAAAAGTTTGCACGTGAAAAAAACAAAAAACTCAGAGCCGTCTATGAGCCGCTATGCCACGACTACAAATGCTAATGCTTCACCAGAAGAATATAGGCTATGTAGAAAACGTTAAATATCATAAGCAGCTGCGCAATAACTATATAAGTATAATTTTTTTACATAACAAAAATAGTCGAACCCCCTTGGTCTATTTTTCGATCAAATGAGTCAACTTATTTCCCAAAACAATAGACATAATTTTTTAACAAGCCTTTAATGTGACACTTTTTCAAATGCTTTCTGGAAACTAGTACACCAAATTCACACGCTTATCCTCATCTAATTAAAAAATAACTTATTCAAGGAAAGTCGAAATATTAACTCGTCAGTATTTTCCCCTATTGAAACCATGTTAACAATAAAAATAAAAAAATGTCCTTATATTAAGATCTGACGTTATCAGGCAGGCGGTAGTATTTCCTATGTAGGGATGGCTCTGATTATTCGTCGAAATGGTATTTTAAATATCTTCTCAGTAGGTCATCAGAGCTTTACAATATATATTGATGTACTGTCAGCGTGATATCTACAAAAGTACTGTCAGCCTAGTAACTACTAATGTATTACCAACCTTGTACAGTGCCTTGCAAAAGTATTCACCCTTACCAATAATGTCACATTTTGATGAAATACAAATAATGTAAATTTTTTTAATCAATTTGTTTTGATCCAAAACCCTAATAACCC